ATATAATTTATAACAAGGTGATAACTGTAACAAATCAAGAAAGACATGTATAGAAGTAATAACAAAAACTGCATCATATTATTACTTTATCACATGATAATTACAAAAAAAGACTGAATCTTTGACATAATAACTATAACTTAGTGAGAGAATGATCTCATCTTGAACACCAATATGACTTAATTGATTCAAAAAAGTACAAGAAACAGCAAAAGGAAGATGGGTCAAAGTGTTAATTACTAAGTAAGATAGATCTCTGTTATTAAAGTTATGGTTCTGGATTCATCTTTATTATGCTGCAGCAATTGGAAATTGTTGTGAAGATTCATGGAAGAAACTTGTTGATGATAGATTCATATTGGAAACTTCTTCTTCTTCGTCTTCTTCATCAGCATCCCAAAGAAACCGAGCATAAGAAGCCATTACATAACTGTGTTAACATCAAACGAAGAATTTTCAGTCAAGCAATCAAAATTCGGTATATGAAAGAAGGTTAAAACTTTCAGAGATTGTGAAGATGTTTATCTGATTATCTTACCAGTCATCTGGAGAAGCTTTGACTGCTTGATCGAAGTAACTCTGTGCACGAGATGCATCCTTTTGTGTCTCCCAAATCAAATCGGCATACATTGATAAAGCATTTCCATCGCTAGGGTTTGCCAGGATTGCTCGGCTGCAATACTCCTCAGCCCTCGAGAAATCACATCGCACCTGTTGAAATAATCAATCAGATCAAAATTGGCGAATAGATCGGAAGCTAACAATGATATGAAACTTGATCTGGTAAAATAAAGAATTGAAATTCGTGAATGATGAATATTGTATATACCTCTTTCAGGTATTTCGCGTAATTGCTGAGAATCAATGAATTGCCAGGGTTTGCTTCGATCATATTCTGATAATACACATCTGTACCATCACTTCCATTATAATCACCATTACCACCGCCGCCTCCACAGATCTTTCCACCACCATCGCTTCCACCGGTGCCATCCTCCATAAGACGTAATCCACACCCCTCATTACAATCCAAACCAGAACTCGAAAAAAGCAAACCTCTGTTTTCGCTCTCTTCCGCTTCGACGTCCTCTTCCACCGCCACCGAAGAAAGCAAGCTGTTTACACTACTCACAGAATTCCTACGTTTTGGGTGAGAAAAACCGATCAAGTCACTCTCCGATGAGGCTCTTGAGAGCTTCTTGGACGAATCATTCGGTGAACACGACGAATGCATTGAAATTGCCGGTGATCTCATGTTTCGATGAACGAAATCTGGTTCCGGTGATGATAATCCTTTGGGATTTTGTTGTTGAAACCATGAATTGAGTGCTGGATTTGATGAGCTCCTGAGTAGCATGTTTAAGAACCGTACTCGTGATTCGTGAATTTCTAAAAGAGGTATGGCGATTAAGCTCGATGGCTATGGAGATTTTATGATGAGGAAGGAGATGATGCGTAAAAGTATTTATAGGGAATTGCGAAGAGGATCTAGACCGTTAATTTAATCGACGATGAAACACGGTTGTCATTTTCAGTCCCGGGACAATTACATTATTTTAGAACAGTCCGAGGATAATTACATAAAAACCTAGCATCCGGGATTTATTTACATTAAATTTATATTTACTAGGTGTGAAACCTATGTAATACATTAGTTTTTTTTAAAAAAAATTAATATATTTTATTAAAAATTACATGTTTTGTAGTATTAATTTAACATAAAAACAAAAATATATAAACAATAAATTAACTATTTAGAAGTATAAATAAATAAAATAAAAACGTAATTATTTATAAAATGATGATGACAATAATGTTATAAACATTAAACATTAATTAAATAAAAATTGCTAAATACAAAAAACAAAATGATGAATAAGTAGGTAAGATAATAAAAACAAACATAGAAATATTGAGACTTGTTTTTATGAATTACAAATTCCCAAAAACTTCTTTGAATACAACATTAGATGTCTTATTGGTAAGTTTACCATCTTTATCTAAAATTAATATTTTTAATCCATCTTTGCTCTTCATTCTCTACAATGCAACATACAACTGCCCATGAGTAAATACTGGTTGTCTCAAAAACAACCTCACCTTCAATAGTGATTGTTCTTGACTTTTATTTATTGTCGTCGCAAAACATACAACCAACGGGAATTGTCGTCTTTGAAATATGAAAGGAATCCTTTTATCCGAAGGCGTCAAAGACATTGTTGGAATAAACGTACGGTTTCCGATATTACTTCTAGATATTATCTCAGCTTCTATAACACGTTTGACCAATGCAATAACCCGTAGCCTTGTTCCATTGCACAATCCGGATTTTTGATCAATATTTCTTAGTAACATAACTGGAAAACCGACTTTTAATACCAACTTATGAATTGGCATACCTGAAGGTCTAAGATCATTTAGAACATCAGGGGAGTATAAAGTTTCATCGGTGTTATCATGAACAAAATCTACATGTGAAAGACTATCTGAACTTAAATACTCCTGTTGGGCTCCCGGAAATAATTTTAACAAACGCTCGGTAATCTCTTGAACGACTTCATTCTTCGGTGCAAGGATTGGTATTTCTTGAAAATAAATCGGATTCTTGGCATTTTCAACGATAGAAGGATAGACAAATTCAATTAATGAACCAACAGGATTAGTAGAATTAACAATGAGAAGATCATCAGGAATATCAATAGTTGTCTCTCCATCATTTAAACCACCAACCTTTCCTTCTCCTATATCCAAAATCCATTTAGCAAAAGTTGTCGTTTCTTGAATATTGGATGCGAGAACACTTAACCTCATGTTTTTTTTGTCAATGTTAACACTTTGGAATTTGACCAAATGTAAGAGGAACATAAAGAAGCATTAACAATCTCTTGCCTTATGACACTGTGATTTTAAAAATTAGTAAAGCAGCCTCAACTGCACCCCCTCCTTGATACAACTTTGGAGTAACCTGCACCTCCTCCTTGATACAACTTTGGAGTAACCTGCTACAACTTTGGAGAATCTGCCACTTTTAAGATTTAAGATGTGAGTTTTGTAGATGATTAAGCAACATTTGTCACTATCTTCAATAGATGATTTAGAACATTTATATTTTCTTGACAACAATTCAATCATGTTTTTACAACATTAAAATTCCATTTTAACAGCAATTTAAGCATTTTTTTACAACATTTTAATTTTTTTTTTACAGTATTAAAATTTCAGTTTTCACAGCTCTTTAAACCGTTTATGACGGTATTAAAATTTTAGTTTTTAACAGCATTCTAAAGCGATTTTTGACAACTTTGTAATCATGTTTTGAAAACATTTTAAATTAATTTTGATAGCAGTTTAAGCAGTTTTTTATGTTGAGAATTTTAAACCAATGTTTGACAACATTTTAAATAGATTTTAAAACATCTTAAACCAATTTTCATAGCATTTTAAACCTTGACAATAAAGAAGCATATAATCATTTGTTTCTCAAGTTATTACTTTCTAACACTAATTTATAATTTAAATTAAATTTCTACAGATGAAGAAAGCGACGAGACCAAACTCCAAACAAATACATATAATGAAGCTTAACACACAAAGGTTGAGCGTAACTTTAGATTTACCCACATCTTCATCAGGGATAAATGCAGCAAAAAGATTAAAAAAAATACATAAACTTTGCATTGATTCAACAATAAACTGCTTTGCAAAATAAGGTAATCATTAAACCAAAATGATTTGCCAATCTTGTGAAGATGTTTCTGTAGTCGATTTTGATAATGCAAGAGTAAATGTTTGAAGAAAAACCATATGAATTCGAATTCAACAAGTAAAACTAACATAAAAAAAATAAATTATTTGAGACATTTAATCGAACAGCTTATATGCAGTGAAACATGAGTAAATATTTAGTACATAAATCTCTACAATTCGATATTATCATGGAAAGGAGAAGTTGAAAACATGAAATCTTCAAATCTTCAACTAAAAAAGAATCAAATCCTTGTCCAGAGAACACTAATTGTACCGATAATTACATATGCTAACCTGATGAAGATATTGTCGATAATGGACTATGATGATGAACGTGGTGATGCTGTAAATCTTCAATCTCTCAATAAAAGTCGACATATGAATGAGATTGTAGCTGTATATATTTTTCAAAATTGAATTTGGAAAGGATATGAATAATAGAATGAATTGAAATTTGATAGGTTTTTGCAATTAAAAATCAATTTGGGTGGTGATTTCCGAGAATTGTGTTTGTAATTTAGGAAGAGATATTTGAATTTAATGTGTTTTTTAACAAAACCGTGAGGGATATTCTAGTTTCCTTTTTATTTGTATATAAGAAGACGCAGAGATGGTATATGTCTTTTTAGTAGTATTAATTAATGATATTTTTTAATTTCATAGAATACCAAAAAAATCCACAATTTGCCAAGTGGAAATAGATTTAATTGAAAAAATTATGAAAATGCCATGTGTCAATGAGAAGGTGACACATGGTAGAAAACCTTCATTTATTAAGGGATATTGGACTTTGTGACAGATGTTAATGGATTCGTAAGGGAATTTCGATAGATTTGTCACAAATTTTCATCGAGTTTGCGGCAGATTTATAAATTTATAAGCTTCTAGGACAAATCAAGTATTTGTTTATACCATTAGGGATACTAAGTGTCTTCCCTCAGTCTAGGATGTCAAAACCTTTATGGGACCCTGTTTCTATATGGGGGTATTTTTACAATGTTTTTAGGTTCAGAACGGGAGTAGGAATGGATTCTATTTCTATTCAGTTTCCGGGGTGGAGAATTCCATCTTGAATATTATGGATGCTCTGTCATAATTATTTTATATTTAACTATTTTATTTATAAAATAAATACTAAACTTAAAGTAGTCATTGTATAATGTATGTTTTGTATTTGAATAACTACTATAATATGTAAGATGCAAGGTAAAACGAAATAAAAGAGTGGAAAAAATTAACATAAATAAGGTTAAATGGGAGATTTGATGGAAACGAGAAACAAAGGCAGGATAGGGGTGGTCTTCAAATTCGAGGGCATAGAAACAGAAGAATTCAAGGTTAGAGAAAACAAAAAAATTTAAGGGCAGGAAAGGGAAGACTATTTTTGCCCCCATTTGATCCCGTTGGCATCCCTATAAAAGCCCCAAAATTACAAGTTTTCAATAGTTTTACCAAAACATCAATTTTTATTATGGAAAAGTCTTGAATTTGCAAAGTTTTTTCATTTATAACAATCGTAAGATTTTTAATGTTATCGTTTCATTGCTCTTGCATATGTGGTTGGATTTTGATGATTAGTGTACTAATTAGGCAAAGCCTTCGATTATAAAAGAAAAGGGGCATGATTCGAAATTTGATAGGTAGAATTTAGTTGTGTCATCTGCAATAGCAACGACACCATCATTTGTTTTCAGACTTTTCTAAATTCGTTTATCATTCTTTCTTTGAATCGATCTTAGCCAAAATTAGTTTTTTCAAGGAAATCCTAACTCAGACATAGTCATAGGGTTTTGCTCAAATCTTCATGAGATTATTAGGGTTTTGATGTTGACATTTTCCTCTGAAATGGTTTTTGTGTTTTCTCTGAATCGATCTTAGCCAATAGAGGAGAATGATAAAGAGACAGGTATAGGAAAGAGAGCGTACGAAGAAGAATAACCATATATTAATATGATCTTTTATCAAGTCCTGGAAATAGTCAAAGACAATCTAATCAAATGGGTATTATGAGATTGTGATGTCACTAACAAAAGTTCAGTCAACAACCTACATGACATGATAGACATGTAGACAAGTAATCAAATGAGAGTTTGAAAACGTGCTAAATCTAATGTCATTCTCCATTTAATTGGTATAAATATTATTTTCTTAAGATCGTAAAGTTGTCTTTAATCTAGGCCAAAGCAAATAAATGTCTTAGTTCAATACATAACTTTAAATAGATAATATTTTCAGTTAAATGTCAATAAAAGACATAAAATGTGTAAATCTTTTTCAAATGAATGTTATTATACGTATCATCTTATTCACATAAACTGTCAAATTATCAAACTACATACATATAAAAGCAATTTGAAAAGATACATATAAAATTAACCTTTCAAATCTACAAATCTAAATAAAAACAAGAAAATTTTTATTTATTTTATTAAGACAAAACTTCAAAAATGGTCCATGTGGTACACATTCTTTCCGAAGTTTAGTCCAAAGCTCGACTTTTTGGGTTTATAGTCCTTTTGAGCTAGTTTCATTGCATTTTTTGTCCTTCCGGATAGTGAAATGATTGTAAAGCCTTTGGGGTGTTTATTTTCCATTTTCTTTCATTTTTTATATCTAATTAATTTATCATTCCTAATAAATAAAGAACTTTTTGTCACATGTCTTCTTCTCCTTCATTTAGATATGACATTTTTTCTAGAAATTTTGAATTTTCTATTTTCCACTTGTCATTTTATTGTATTTTTCATTTTATTAAATTAAAATTCCACATTTAATATGTAAGGTAATATATATATGTAAGATATTTATTAGAAAATGTTTATATATGTAATGTATTCAATACATTAAAGTCTCATTAATTTTAATAATTCAAAAAAATTTCTCATTTTTCTTATAAATTCAAACTTTTCAAATTGTTAAAATTTCATATTTAATATTTTTTTAAATAAACTCATGTAATACATAGGTCTCACACCTATTTTATTTTAATAATCAAAAGAATAAGAAGTCTCTCTCTCTCTCTCTCTCTCTCTCTCTCTCTCTCTCTCTCTCTCTCTCTCGCTGGAAAAATTAACACTCCAAGATCTATTCATTAAATCCATCACAAACTTTTTCACTAACCTTGATTCAACACTAAAAAGTTTCAATCACGAAGAACGATAACAAACATCATGTTCTTGAAGTTAAAAAAATGTGTCGATTACTCACCCGAATTTGTTTCTTCAAGGATCTATCATTCATGACATGCAGGTTTATGAGCTCATCCGGATTCATGTTGCTTTCCATTGGATTAAGCTCAACGATTTAGGGGACTCTCAAAGATTTTCCAGATTTGGGTTTAGTGTCTGATACGTGTATAAGATGGTATTCTAGACCACCCCCATGGCCTGACCCAACATCAATGAAGGCTAACCTAGTCAATTGTTGAACTAGTCGTCCACTCCAAGCATTAACTGCATTAGAATAGCTCACATTCCTTGATGCATGCATTATTTCCTGATTTATAGAGTAGTGGTACTTCTCACATTTAATTCCATGTTGATGTTCAGTTAGAGGCATGAATGATATCAAAAAATGTTTCCAAACATGTCTTTTTTTTTTTCTTATTTTCTTGGGAGACTAGCCTCCTTTAACTGGCTTCTATCAAATGGTGCTTTCATTTCCGTTCATCATGCCTCCCCGTCAAGATCTGTTCACTGATATCACACACCTAAGTATCTGCGAGCAACTCTCCACGCTCATCGTCATTTCCACCGCTAATATCCACCGTCTTGATGCAATTATCATGCAAATTGCCACTATCAACACCGTCATCGACCTTCAAATTGGAACGATCGCTAAACTGATCCCGCCTCCACCACTGAATTAGCAACCAAGGCCTTCATCAACATCACCAGCACCGTCTCCACTACTACAATTGCCAACAACAATGTTATCCACACCGTCACTGCCACCGCGACAACGATCGTTATCGTCACCGCCACCACCACCTCCAAAACGATTGCCATTACTCATTTCAACACAACACCCACTTCCACCATTACCACAACCGCCACCATCATAAGTAGCATCCAGGCAATTCCTACCCATCACTTTTCAACCGTTTAAACCACAGTTTCCCGTTCCTGTTGTTGTATGCACCCATATGCGTACGCAGGATCTTGAGGACAAGGTCCATTTAAAGGACGGAAAAATTGATATGTGTATAAGATGGTATTCTAGACCACCCCTATGGCCTGACCCAACATCAATGAAAGCTGGCCCAGTCAATTGTTGAACTAGTCTTCCACTCCAAGCATTAACTGCATTAGAATAGCTCACGTTCCTTCATGCATGCATTATTTCCTAATTTATAGAGTAATGGTACTTCTCATATTTAATTCCATGTTGATGTTCACTTAGAAGTATGAATGATATCATAAAAGGTTTCAAACATGTCTCTTCTTTTCTTAGTTTCTTGGGAGACTAGTCTCCTCTAATTTTCTTCTATCAGTGTCAATTAAACTCAGTGATGTAGAACTACACAGACGATGTTAAGGGTTTGATGACCATGAGACGGGATTGAACCATAAATCAAATTACATAGAGGATGAGGTGGTCCAGTGAATCAAAACCTTAAGGATCCATTCTTTCTTGGGGGTGGCAGCGGCTCACACAGACCGTTATGAGGATCAATAACCTCGATCTCTATTTATATCCCTAATATATGCTTATTTAATTAGACAGTTGGTCTAGAGATTACAACAACCTTTATCCATATCGATTTCCTTGATCTCCAATTTTAGATCTGGGTTGTTTTTATAGGTTTGAAAACCCATCAGATATTAGAACAACCTTTATCCAGATCGATTTCCTCGACGAGGCATTCCTGGGTTTTAAATTTTGTGGCCAATTCCAACGACTCATTCCTGGGTTTTTTCTTCTATGGTGATATGTGCATATAAGGTGTGTATGTGTGTATTTATTACCTAATTTTCTTTCCAGTCACCTCCAGTTTTCTCAGTTAATTCTACTGAGAGGATTTTGATGAAAACAAATCGATAGTTTGTGTATTTGTATGAGATAGAGAGAGATTTATCAGGAGGTTATCATTGGAATTGGATTGTTATTGGTGAGGAAACTGATTGTGGTGGAGACAAAAGGACCATGTCCAATTTTTTTGTGGAGAATTCAATGATGGAAAAGGGGTTGAGTATAAATCGGAAATTACAACGACGGAGAAGGAGTACGCGAGGAGAGGGTGGTGTTGGGTAAGAGTTTGATTAGAGTGTAGATGGCCGAAAATTGGGATGACGATCTTGGGTTTCCAAATCCAAGAATTGTTTCATATTGGGTTAATTTGTGTGTGTGTGTGTGAGAGAGAGAGAGAGAGAGCACTGTTTATTAATAATAAAACATTAAATTAAATACAACAAATATTAAAAAAAAATGTATTATAATGGCATTTTAGTTTTTTAAGATTTACTGATGGACGAAAACCACAATTAAATTATGCCAAAAGAACCATAAAATAAAAAAAAATCTAAATTTAGATCAAATCTAAAAAAATACATAAAAGAGAAACTATTTTTATAATTTTGTCTTTTATTAATTTATTTATAGAAAAAATCTAATAGCTTTTAGACCCACGTGAAAATTAGGTTTAATAATGGTGGAAGGGACCGACCATGCAATGGATGTCTAGTATATAACCTTTTTTAATTTAAATAATAATTCCACACGTGTTCTATTTGACTTGAGAAATCACAAGAACTTATATCGAGTGTGAACCCATATTTAATCGAAACCAATTTATTTGGTTTATTATCCGGTATTCGTCAAGTATCAAAAACACATATTTAGTTTTTATTTTTAAAAGTTAATTTACAAATTCCCTTATGTCACTAAAAACTATACGTTTTGTCATGTCATTATCACATATAAAATGGTTATATTACTATTTGTTTTTATTTATCATTGCTTATAATTTATCTCTTTTTGTTAATTTTAATTTTTAGAAAATGATATTTCCTCTAAAATTGGTTCTAGCCAACTCTGGCCACCTGCTAGCTCCAGTCATCAACCACTATCAACCACCGGTCATCCCGACCAGCAACTACCACTTATCACTAGCCACCTCCAGATGCCTCTTATATCATTAACATCTTTATTTCTCTCACGTGTTCTCTTTCTTAGTTCTAACAACCATCACTTGTTATAAGAGGCATAGCTACATATGATTAAGGTGGGTCCTAAGACCCACTTTAACATCCATAAAATTCGAGTGAATTTAAAACATTTTAAATCATTTGAAACCATTCAGTTATTACAATTTGTTTTCAAAATAGTTTAAACATCATAGTTCCCAGAAATCATAATCATCAATTGAGGAAGTGTACGGTCACGTCATCGCCTTCCTGCGGCCATCCGCTGAACCTGAAACAATAAAATGAAACTGTAAGCTATTGAATTCCCCCAAAATACCCATACAACAATACACATATAACCATAAACAATTAACAACATGAGCTAGGTCCATAGCTTTACAGACTGGATTACCCCTGGGCCCACAGTGTGAGTCTGTATTGCCTTATGGGCCCATAACTCACATCTGGATTGCCATCAAGCCAACAGTACGAGTCTCCCTTGGCCCGTAACAGGAATGCTCCCAGGTTTGTTGGATTACCGCACAGAGCAGTATCACCTCAACCCATCCACATAATATGTCAACATATAACACAACTAATGCACATATAGATAATCACATGATACTAGAGGTTTTCCTACAGATCTACCTAACTGGCATAACAACTAATATGTAACACTAACTCATACTCAACATGCTACCATGATACTGATGTAACGGATAATATCAACATATAACAACCTATGTACCAGGATATTGATTTAATAGATTATAACAACATATATCATCCTATCTACCAGGATATCAATCTAATAGATCATAAGAGCATAGCAACAACCTATAACCAGGGCACCGACCTAACCAGGTCGCTAATCATAAACATAACATCATCCTAACTACCAGGATGCAAACCAATAAACATATCATTCCATAACCGGATACAATCCATAAAGGGCCGACCTTGGTGCCTTAGACCCTGTTGATATAGTGAGGATAACTCACCTCGCAATGTCATATTCGAACTGAAGAGTTGAACTCCTGAATTGCCGCCTCACCGAGGATCTCGAACTATCCAGATAATGAAACCAAGTCATTACATAACATAACAATCTTGACTAAGGGTCCATACAACTCATTAATGTGACAATCGTCAATCTTGAGTCAAGTCAAATCATCAAGTCAAGACCGGTCAACTCGATTAAACCTTGTGTATTAGGGTTTGTGTTATGTTCATACTGTATAACTTGCTATATTAATGGGAAAACATCACTTGAGAAAAGTCTTGTGTTAAAAATTTCCTAAACCCTAGTTCTAATCAATGAACTAGAACGATAAAACAATGTTGCATACTCATCGGGAGTGTGTAAGATCCTTAAACAAGGCTTAACAGGGTTCACGAACCATACATTTCGATGCCGGACGCTCACAACTATCCCACATGAAACCTCTCTCAATCGTTTCCACACTATCTCTCTCTATGTCAAACCTCTCCCAAATCTCTCCAAGTATGCGAAATCTCTCTCAAATATCTCTCTGTATTAGAAATCTCTCCAAGAATGTCAAATCTCTCCCAAATCCCTCTAAGTATGTGAAAACTCTCGCAAATATCTCTTTGTATGAGAAATCTCTCCAAGAATGTCAAATCTCTCCCAAATCTCTCCAAGTATGAGAAATCTCTCTCAAATATCTCTCTGTATTAGAAATCTCTCCAAGAATGTCAAATCTCTCCCAAATCCCTCTAAGTATGTGAAAACTCTCGCAAATATCTCTTTGTATGAGAAATCTCTCCAAGAATGTCAAATCTCTCCCAAATCTCTCCAAGTATGCGAAATCTCTCCCGAATCTCTCTCAAATAGTTCCCGTAACTTTTTAGAATCATTCGGGTCATTCCGACGCTTAACCGTGTCAAAAACAGCTTAAAACGGGGTAAAAACGAGAAAAATATACATTAGGAACCGAAACCAAGAGAGAAGCTTCTTAGGACCCGAAGGTCCTCTTAGGGACTGAGAGCAAGAGGAGCCGAACCGAACCCTCCTGATGCCGAACCGAACCCTCCTGAGCCGAACCCGAAGGTACTGTTCACCACTAACCGAAACCGAACCCTGCTCAAGAGGAACCGAACCGAAGGTACTGTTCACCAACCGAACCGAAGGTACTGTTCACTACAGTACGTTCGGTTCTGACATTCTCGCCTCTTATTCCCGAACCGAACCCCACCCTCGCTACTGACCCTTCGGACCGAACCCTCGCCCATCGCTTCTCGCGTCTGACTCGCCCCTTTCGTTTCCCTCTGTTCGTTTCCGGCTACAGTCCTCAGCGTGGACCGGGTCTCGGCCTAGGGACCGAACCTCGGCCTAGGACCGAGAGGTCTCGCTGGGAACTCATTTTCTCCCGGTTTTCGCGTAGTTTTGCGTTTAAGGCCCGTTTTTAATTATTTTAACGTGGGAATTTCACCCAAAATCATATTTTAACATAATAAACCCTAAATATTCACAATTTAATCATATTTTCATAAAAATCTTTATTTAAATAATGAAAGCAAGTGGGTAAAGTACAAAGAGGTGGAGTGTTGACTTTGCTTTACCTTATAACACAAGCAACCACTCCCACACCCACTCTATGACCAGCCACACCTCCCCACCTTACCTAGGTCACATCAATGTCTTTTCCACTCAATTATCCCTCTTTCCCACGTTTTTGAGTGCTGAATATTCATCCTCTCTCCTCACTTCTCTCATTTGCTC